CGAGCGAGCAGCCTGCGGGGGCAGGACGCTGCGGCGGCGGCGGCTCCAGCGCCGCTCGGCGGCGGCCAACAGCGACACCCGGAGGCGCCGCCGCGCCACTGCAGCCGCCGGATGGCCGCGCTCAAGGGGGCCCGGCTTTGGGATCCAGGATCTTTCCTAGACTGCAAACCCCGAGCGCAGAAACAGATATTTAATGCAACTCCTGAATCGTTATTAAGTGAGATGCACTTTTGGTTACATTCCGTTCATCTCCTTTAGTCCCACTCAATCCTAAGACCTTTGAATTTGTTGCATAGCAATAAGGAAAGGAACTTAACTGCTTTTTAAAAAATCGTGGTACACGTACAAGAGCCAGGGTTATATGATATTATAGAAAGGGATGACCTTGGGAGCCTTTCAGCTCTCCATCCCGCATCTTGAATTTTGCTTCACTTGCATGGCACAAATTAGCTTGGAAAGAGATCGGCCTAAAGTAATACTTGGCGCTCCATGCTATGAATTAATAATATTATTTATCTATGAATAATGAAATTTCTCTTTTGTGTTACCATACTTGAGAACCTTACAATGAAAAACTGCAAAGCCATTTCTTTGTCTGTCATAGAATCATATAAAGATGTTTCACATCAGAATTATAAATCCTTCTATCCCAGTAACATGGTTCAGTGTTTGTGGATGACTGTCATTTACTTCCTGCAGAGAGATCAATGGAAAAAAATCTGGCCTTGACCCCAGAGATGAAATCTAACTATTTTCCAAACAAAACCACTTTGGCACACCAATTCCCTGGATCAAAGCCAATCTCTCCACCTACTCGAACTGGATTCGAAGCCTTCAGAAACACCCAACTTGGTCTGGGTATTTAGACAACGCTCCTGAAACCACCACAGTATAAAAATTCTTGTTTCTTATTCTGTCACTTCTGGTAGCTACAAACATAGGAAACTGTCTTGTGCCAGGTACACAAGACCTCAAGCTACAGACCCGAGCCACAGTCATTCCCTTTGGAGCATGAAAAAACGAAACTCCTCACAACCACAAGTGAAGGCCTCATCTAAATACCAGGACAAATGGAACTTCACACATTTCTTTTATCCATTTCAAACCATAGCACAGTAAACTCCTACACTGGCCCTCTCTGCATAGACAGAGTTCTCTCTGTCATCAGACAACATGAAAGCAAATTTTGGAGACAAACACTTTTAAAAGTTGATCTCACAACTACTCAGATCCCAAGGATCACAACACGAATGCAGGCACAGCAACTTTTCTGCCCTTCAAAATACTTTCAACTATTATGAAATTTTATGAAGGCTGAAGACATCAGTTACTCAACTCCGGATCCAGTCATTCAAAAGTAACATCATCTTTCCCCAGCACATGCGTTCTTTGGACAGTGTGTGACTCTCCTACTCTGAATGCAAGGTTTCCATCTGTGCCCAAGAATTCCTGGAAAACAACATGAATCAGAAAACTGAAATGCCGCAAACACAAACTGGCCCTTTGAGTCAGAATCATGGGGTAACAAAACATGAAGACACCTTTAGACAATTTTCAGAAGGTCATGAATAAACACTGCCAATCAACAAAACGCATGCCTTGTCTCCACCATTACCTTCTGACGAACAAGTCTCTCCTCAGTCCAAAGAGACTCCATCTAAAGAATAGTTCCTCACACAACTTCCCATTGCCGTGGATAATATTTCTCTTCTCAACCTGAGTATGAAACAAGCACGAGAATTTCTTCCAGGAACACTTTAGAAACCACTGCTATTAAAATGAGGAAGACATAAGGTATACAACTGCAGAAAGGAAGGGATCAACACAGACCCTTGAGGATGATGGCACTAAGGTTAGGCACAGAGTTCAGGTATTTAGCAGGAGATGAATACAGAGTTGGCTCCAACCAAAATTCCTTTCATATGGCGCTTGCCATATGTACCTAACCAAACCATTCGTTGAAATAACAAAACGACCTCCAAGCACACAGGAGGAAGCTCCCAGGGCTCCCCACACAGCTGAACTAAGATCTGCTAGGGCAAACTTACCAGGGAAGAAGAAAATCACTTTCCACGACGGTAGAGCTGAACACTGAACAAGGAAAAGAACAAGTCCTCCTGTTTCACCAGACCTCCACACTCAGGCCACAGGACTCTCGTCTCCTGTACAACCTGCATGGTGACCTCTGACCCTTATCATTTCCAAGAACATGTAATCAAACCCCAGCTGCCCGGCCAAGACATCTTTAACCATCACCATCAGGCCACGTACGCTTACCAGAAGGAAGTGTTGTATTTCTTTGCAAGCTTTAACAGCCGGACATTTCAGATTTTCTCAATGGTAGTAGGTACACAAGAAGGGTATCGAGGGAGTAAAACGTCCACACAACACTCACATAGGAGCTCACAGCCAAGCCTATGGCCACAGCTCCTCAATATAAGTTTTTTGTACACTAAACAAGATAAAATCCAAAAAAACCACGACTGTGGGTCTCATGTAACCACTATGACAAACAATTTCTACACAGTCATTACATCTTTTGGGCTTTTCAAATTTAACCACGGAAAACTTTTATCTGCCCTGTATCCCTTAAAATATTTTTTTACCCTGCCCAAATATTATGCAGAAGAAAGCAACATCTGCAGTCAGCCTCCTTTGAAAGAAAAGCAGCACACACAACCTCTCACTACCTGAGAACGATCCCAGCAATGATACCCAAAGGAAATGTGTGCTACTAACTAAAATAAAATACTCTCAAGTGCATAAGGAATACGCAGCTCTAACAGCTACCAGTCATCACAATGCCTACTCATCCGACCTCAGCACATGGCTAATTTGGAAGGTATATCATTGCCAAACTTTGAAGTGGTGTTATAGACGGGGCCACTAAGTGTGGTTTCAAAAGAACCTCAATCTGCTCATGCACGTGGGCTATCGGGAAAACACCTGCCCTGCAAACAATCTATATTCCATTTGCTTATAATGCAACACATCCAATGAGAATACGAAATGCTGAGAGGAATTAGACATAGGAGGAGGAAGAAAGCAGAAACAAAAAGCAACTTGATAAAAACACAAAGAACCAACCTCCAGCCAAGAGCAACCTCCCTTCTCCGACCGTGCTCATCAAATCTAAGGAAGAACACGGACCCCACGTTCACCTGCTCGCAACAAGAAGCACCAGAACACAGCGGGCAGATGAACGGGGCCTTGCCTTGCCACTCTACAAATCTTCCTATGCAATAAAAACACGACGGGAAGAAACGACAGGCAAACAGCGAAAGGAAGCGCCGCACAAAGAATTTGGTCCCAGAAACTCACCGAGGGAGCGGAGGGATCCACGGGGATGGCGCCGGGAGGGTCCTGGTCCCCGAGCAGCGGCGCGGGCTCGTCGGGCAGTGGCCGGGCCGGGAGGGTGTCGCAGCAGCTGCCGCTGGCCGAGAAGCGCAGGTGGCTCTTGCGCGAGTCG